CATTGCCATCGAAAAAACGGTGGAAGAGCCTTTGCCAACCACTGCCAGGAATTAAGCCTTAGGATCTCTAGTAAGAGTGTCCTAGTCAGCAATCCACCGAGTGGCAAATGAAATTCACAGCAGGCTTGGCTCTAGTATGCAGTTGAGGAGATCCCAATGTGTAAAAGACCTTGGGATCGACGGCGCTTCCCACAGACGCCCCGTGGCAACGGCCGAGAAGAGGTTGGCCGATAGCACCAGTAGAGGTAACATAGTTCGTAGAGTTGTCAAGACCTCCAGAGCTGCGAAATCTTGAGTACACGCCGGGGAATTGAGGCACAATGAGTAGCCCCATCCACGCTGCTACGGATGCGAGCGCAGATCTCGGGCATGGTTGGCCACGATGAAGGAGGATGCGCGACTACGACTATTCGGATGGCCTTCCCAACGGCACACCAGGGTCCGATGGTTTTTGGCAGGCTGCGTCTTTTCAATGAATGGATCGGACTTCTTCCAATGCCTCTGTCAACCCACCGCCAGGCTCTTCTCTCAACCTGGAAAACAGCAGTTCGCATCTTTGAAGGGGCCAAAAGCCGATGGGCACAAGTCAAGGGGGCCCTGTCGGCCACGGCGGCCGCGCTCCCCGACCACGGGTGGAAACCTCTTTCACCGACCCTGCGGCAGGACCCCGACGGAGTGCAGTTCGATCTGGAAGAAGCTGACTCACATATGCTGTCAGAATATGTGTTGTACGGAGCCCTAGACCAACAGGCTTGGGAGCTAGCAGCGGCACATTTCGCAGGCAAAGGTCTCGAGCACGGCCCTGATCTTACAGTCAACGGGCAACGCATGGCAGCCTGGAAAAAAGAAGCGCAATACGACACAGCTGGTCTGTTCATAATGATTATGGCAGGGGCCCTCTGGCCTGCGAGTCGGCGCTTTGTAGAAGCTACCGGGCCCCCTCCAATCCCTCCAGCAACGGCCGCCGCCGCTGCGCGGGCGTCTGATCAGGCCCCCCTGGAGCCCTAGGCGCACGGTAGAGTCGGCGGTCTGGATGAGGAAGAGGAGGATTCTGATGTTTTGGATTTGGTCAGGCAAGCCCAGGAGGATGACCAGGGCCCTTGGGACTCCCCTCCTGACAGTTTCCCAGAGGAGCTTCAGGAGGCCGCGGGGGTCTGCTCGCCGCGCAGGCCACCCTGGACCACACCAAAGTGCCCTCGGCGTGGAGCTCCGCAAGGGACCCTTCTCCGTCAGATTTGGGAGTGCCCGGGGAACCAAGGCCTGGAGGGCCTGCGCTTGGAGCTCTTGGAGAAGGTCCGTGAAGGCCAAGAAGAGTGGCTTTGTTTTTGGCTCAGGGGCATAGTGCCAGTGCTCTGGGCGCCGCCCCACGCCTCGCGCCCGACCCTGGCAAGAGATGCCAAGATTCGTTTCACCAGCTCAATGATTGTTGCCACTGATGGTTCAGGTGGCAAGTACCGCGATGACTCCAGGCTCAGAAGATGTGGGTGTGGCTTTGTGGTGGTGGATGGGTGGGACCTGCTTGGGTGCGGGCAAGGGCCTTCGGAGTGCTGGAAGCAGACAGTTCCAACCTCAGAGTTGACAGCTGCCACAGAGGCGGTGAAAGCTACTGAAGGAGATTTAGTTTTGGTGATAGAGGCTCAGTCTGTGGTGGACGGCATAAGAGCTGGCCCACATGGACGGAACAGCACCAACAAGAGATGTTGTGGAAGAGATGTTGGGCCGACCTTGGTGATAGGCCCATCGTGGCCCACAAAATCAAGAGTCACCTTCCGGCTGAAGAGGCCGAAGCGAACCACGTGCCCCCACAGCATTGGTTCGCGAATCGTCTTGCAGATCAGGCAGCGGTGGAGGGCGCCCGTCAGGCCCAGCTTCCGGCCCAGGAGATTGCCGCGATAGCGGCCATCGACTTGAAAGCGACAAAGGTGCACGAGCACATGTTGGCGGTGGCCCCCGCGGTCACTAAGCAGGAACCGTCTCTCTACGGCGCGAGCTCGCGGCGAGACCGCGCGCAAGAGGCCAAGGCTCGGGCTGGGGAGAGGCAGGGGGCGGCTCAGCAGAGGATAGTAGATTCGGCCCACTCGGTGAAGCGAGACACCCGAAGTCGAATGCAGTGTACGGCGTGTTTCGCAAAGCCAGAGCCAGGAGCGATAGAGTCCTGGTTGTCCAGCCCGTGCATCGGGTATCCCGCCAATTTGCATAGGAACCATACCGTGTGGAGCTTCAAAGGAGTCTTTTGGTGGCGGGCCTGTGGTGGGTACGGCACCACTTCTTTCCAAAAGCTCGGTGTGCAGTGTAAGCTAGAGACCCTCACCAAATGCGCCAGGCGTCTCATTCATTCCCTGGAACAGGAGAAGTTGCAAGTGGGCGTCAAGGAATGGCCTCAGCCAGACGACCTGAGACCCCCCAGGCCCACTGTTTCTGTTTAGTGGCCAATGAGTCGCAGCGGTCCCTGTCAGAGGATGTGGCCGCCAACGTAGGTAAGAGGTCAGAGGAGGAGGAGGAGGAGGAGGAGGAGGAGGAGGAGGAGGACGAGGACGAGGAGGACGAGGAGGACGAGGAGGACGAGGAGGACGAGGAGGACGAGGGCGTGCCGGCACCTGTTTGCGATTGTTTGCGGTGCCGCGTTTGAGGCCAACGGGGTGTCCTTGGCGAGGCAGAGTTGCCTGCGCACGTACCATGGCCCGAAGGCTCGCAACGAGTCTTAGACGTCAGTCCCCTCCTCTGGGGGGAGGAGGGGGAGGAGGCAGGCGGAGGAGTGAGCGAGTTCCCCCGGGCAAGAGCCCAGGCAGGCCCTGGAGCTATCCGCCCCCCACACTTGATTTCCAAGTCGCTCAGCACCTAAATTTTCAGTGGTCGCGTCTAGGCGACGGCTGTGGGTAGCGGTAAAGGTATGCTTTCGGAACGTTCACCGCCACCCAGTTTTTGCCAGCGTGGACCCGAGCAGCGAGTTATTTCAATCCAGATGCGCAAGCTGTAAGCTGTGTGGTGCAAGCTCCGTGGTGCAAGCGATGCCGTGCAAACTATGTGGTGTACGGTCGGGAACTTTGGTTCGCGTGTCGCTCCGCTGACTCTGGCCCACCACGCTCTGAAGCGACACGCTGCTCGCTTCCGGGTTGCAGGCGTCAGCGGCCCGAGTTCTCCCACGCTTCCCGCCGCGCGGAGCGGAGCGACACGCTGTCTGCTCGCGGGGCATGGCACGTCGCTGGGGCAGCCGCCGCGACACTCGAAGCAGAAGCTCCCGACCGTAGGCCCTGCGGTGCGAGCGCTGCGGCGCACGAGGCGCCCGCGGGGCGGAGGCCTGGCAGCCGTCCACCGCGCGAGGGGGGCGGCCGCGAGGCGCCGGCAGCAGCGGGGCGAAGACTCGGCAGGCAGGTCCAGCTGTGCATCGCTGTGGCGAAGGTCCCCACCATGGGCACACTTGCAGATGTGGGTGTCATAACAGGTCGCTGAAACGCGGTATTTCTGGACGCCCAGATCCCGCTCTATTCGTGGCGCCCTCCTACTTCAAGGATCGACTGGCTTCCTCCTTCTCTCCTCTATAGGGGGCTGGCGGAAGCCCAATCTACTTCCAACGCCTTCCTGCTTCATGTTTCTACCTACTTCTTCCGACCGATGGGTACCGCGTTGTGGGCACCGCTTTCGGTGGAGCCCCATGTGGGGCCACGAAAGGCGAGAGGAGTGTCCTGTAATGGTTGGGGGGGCGGATGCGGCCGCGGCCGCTGGGGTCGTCGGTGGAGCTCCCTGTGTGCCCACGAAACGCTGTAATGGGCGGGGCGGGCGCGTGCGGCCGCGGAGCTCCCGATGGAGCCACGGAACGTTGTTTTCGGGTGGCGCGGCCGCATGCGGCCGTGGCCACTGGAACGTTCGGTGGAGCTCCCTACGGGGCCGCGAAGCGCTGTACTGGTCGGGGGAGTCGCATGCGGCCGCGGCCACTGGAGCGTTCCATGGAGCTCTCCCTGGGGCCACGAAGCGCTGTACTAGGTGGGGGGAGACGCATGCGAACGTCCCCTCTGGGGATGTCGTTGGAGCTCTCCCTGGGGCCACGAATCGTTGTACTGGGTGGCGCGGCCGCATGCGGCCGCGGCCACTTGGGCCTTCGGTGGAGCTCCCTGGGGGACCACGAGGCGCTGTATTGGGTGGCGCGGACGCATGCGGCCGCTGCCATTGGTGTCTTCGGTGGAGCTCTGTATTGGGGGGGGGGGGTGATGAATTTTACTGGGTGTGGGAAGCGCTTGCGGCCGCTGCCATTGGCGCCTTCGGTGGAGCTCCTTTAGGGGGGGAGGCACGAAACATGTCACTGGGTGTGGGAGCTCCCTATGGGGCCACGAAGCGGGTGAAGGGTATGCCGAAACAAAGACACGCGGAGGGCGCACGGATGATAGGGAGCGGAGGGAGGAGGGGGTGAGGAAGGAGTGAGACGCAGGGCGTTGCTTCTTCAACACAAAGACCCATCACAACAGGATGGTTGGGAACAAAAATAGTGGTAAGGTAACCGTAGCCATTTTGGCTCAAGCCAGTCTGGCTCCAGAGGCTCGAGCGTTTTCTCTGGCCTGGGTCGGGCAGCCAGCCCGCGCCACCGCTCGCATGCCAGGCCAGCCGCTGCGCTCCGAGAGGCCAGCATGACCTGCCGCCGCCGCGACCGCCGCGGCGCGGCCGCGGCAACGCTTTGCGCAGCCCTGGGGGCCACGTGGCGCGGGCATCTGGCCCCAGCGGCCTTCGCCGGGCCGGCCGCGGCGCCCACCCCGGTGCGCGGGGCGCCGCTGCGGGATACGGCCGCCAGCCCCGGCCGCGAAGCGCCGGCTCCTGCAGCTGGACACCCCAGTAGCGTGGAGCGCCAGATCGGCGTCAAGCACATATTTTGGGACAAAGGCAGTGCGGCGTGGCGCATTAAGTATCAAATACAGAACGGCCCAGATCGAGGTTGCATCAAACAGACACGGTTCCGCCCGAAGGACGAGTCGCCGGAGCAGGTGGAGCAGGCGCGGCTCGCCGCCGTCGAGGCGCTGCGGCGGCTGGAGGACGAGGACCGGCTCGGGCGGATCCGCTCAGGTCGGCACAGTGCGGAGCGCCAGAGCGGCGTCAAGCACATACATTGGGACAAATGCAGTGCAGTGTGGCGCATTCAGTATACGATACAGAACGGCCCAGATCAAGGTCGCGGAAAGCGGCTCGTGTTCCGACCGAAGGACGATTCGCCGGAGGAGGTGGAGCAGGCGCGGCTCGCCGCCGTCGAGGCGTTGCTGCGGCTGGAGGAGGAGGACCAGCTCGGGCAGGCCCGCGCTGGCAGCTACAGCCCCACAGAGCGCCAGAGCGGCGTCAAGCACATACGCTGGGACAACCGCAAGACGGCGTGGCGCATTAAGTACACGATACAGAACGGCCCAGATCAAGGACGCAGAAAGCAGCCCGTGTTCCACCCGTATGACGATTCGCCAGAGGAGGTGGAGCGGGCGCGGCTCGCCGCCGTCGAGGCGTTGCGGCGGCTGGAGGAGGAGGACCGGGTCGGTCGGATCAGCTCGGGCCGGCACCGTGCGGAGCGCCAGAGCGGCGTCAAGCACATACTTTGGGACAAAGGCGGTGCGTTGCGGCGGCTGGAGGAGGAGGACCGGGTCGGTCGGATCAGCTCGGGCCGGCACCGTGCGGAGCGCCAGAGCGGCGTCAAGCACATAAGCTGGGACAAATGCAATGCGGTGTGGCGCATTCGGTATACGATGCAGAGCGGCCCGGATCAAGGTCGCAGAAAGCGGCCCGTGTTCCGACCGAAGGACGAGTCGCCGGAGGAGGTGGAGCAGGCGCGGCTCGCCGCAGTCGAGGCGCTGCGGCGGCTGGAGGACGAGGACCAGCTCGGGCAGGCCCGCGCTGGTCGGCACAGTGCGGAGCGCCAGAGCGCGCTGCGGAGGCTCCAGGAGGAGGACCGCGCGCTCGAGCGCAGCGGCTCGGGCCGACGGAGCGCGGGGCGCCAGAGCGGCGTCCAGCACGGGAGCTCCAAGACGACGAGCGGCGCAGACAGAGGCACCGGGAAGCAGCCCGCGTGCCGCCCGCAGGACGAGTCGCCGGAGGAGGCGGAGCGGGCGCCGCTCGCCGCCGCCGAGGCGCTGCGGGGGCTCCGGGAGGTGGACGGCGCCCTCGAGGCGAGCGCCTCGGGCGGGCCCTGTGCCGGCCGCGGCCGCAGGGAGGTGCCGCTTCTCGACGGGCTGTTCCTGGTCGTCGGAGAGGCGGTTTGACGCGGTGTGCGGGGTCCTGAAGGTCACCTGTCGGTCGCCTGCGGTCGGGCGATTCTTCTTGGCGGAGGTCTTGCTGTTGCGTGCCGACTGGGCCCGCAACCCGCAGCAACTGCACGCGCCGTTCTGAAGCTTGCAGTTGCCAGCCCTGGTCAAAAAGAATAGTGGTAAGGCAACCTAAGTGCACGCACTGTTCCGGGAGAAGCAGGAAGAGGCTTACCCATCCGTTGTTCAGATCAGCGGAAAGCCGTGCGGCATCAGGTGCCCCAAGGTAGCTCGACTGGCCGTTTGTCGACATCGTCCTGGCCAGATTCTCTGAATATTTTCCCTCCTTCCCCTCTCCTCCTCCATCCTTCTTCCCTCCCCCTTCTCCTTCGCTTATTCCCACAGGGCCCGTCGCGGGTCACTGTTGCTCGCGCCGGGCACGTTGTCAGGCGCGCGGCCGTCCTCAGGGGCCCGCCGCTTGGGGCTGCTAGCTTTGTGAACTCGCTGCCGCTGCGTGGGAGTCGGCGAATTCCAGCGACTTCTCCTCTCCCTACCCCTCCCTCCTCCAACCCCCCCTCCCTCTCCTTCCTCCCTCCTCCATCCTCGAGCGAGCGACGAGGGAAGGGGCGAGGGTGAGGACGACCAGCCCACGGACCAGCAGAGCGGAGCCGCCGGAACGAACGGGTGCGCGCGGCCCCTGAGCCGTTACACGGTCAGGTCCCTGGGTCTGATCCCTTCCGAAGGGGGGGTGTCCCTCCCCATCCGCTCGGACCTGCCCCGGGGGGGGGTCTGCCAATGGGGGGCGCCCGAGAGCCCAGTCGGCCATGCGTAAGAGTGGCTTTTCGCCGGAGTGATTCTTGGTGCGGGTGCAGTGGGGTCTCCAGACGGCTGAATGCGATGCGATAGCAGCGTCTTGCGCGCTCGGGTTTGGCCTCCCGGCGGCCCCCGAAAGTCGCGCAGCAGAACTCACTTTTGCCCAGGGACGCTCTGACGTGTAGCCGACGAGAGCCCGGGCCAATCCTCCTCGATTTTAGGCTCATCCCCCGTCCTCCTCCTCCTCCTCTTTCTCCTCCTGCTCTTGCTCTTTTAGGCTCCCCCCCGTCCTCATCCCTGCCCCTGCTCTTCGCATGTCATCAGCATCATCACCAACATCATCATCAACAGCAGCATCATCAGCATCATCATACAGATACTCAACATCATAAGTATCATCATACTCAACATCAGCCTCAGCATCGTCATCATCAGTATCCTCCTCATCATCCTCATTATCATCACCAGCATCATCATCATCATCATCATCATCAGCAACAGCATCGTCACCATCAACAGCATCATCACCATCACCATCACTATCACCATTACGATCATCATCATCATCAGCAGCATCACCATCACCATCACCATCACTATCGCCATTATCAGCAGTATCATCGTCATCTTCTTCGTCATCATCATCACCTTTATGATCCTCGTCATCGTCATCATCATCATCACTATCATCAGCATCAGCAACACCATCAGCAGCATCAGCATCAGCATCATCATCAGCATCATCATCACCGCCATCGACAATCATCATCACCATCAGCATCATCATCATCACCATCAGCTTCATCACCATCATCCTCATCATCATCAGCAGCATCAGCATCTGCATCATGAACAGGATGTTTCGAGTTGCCAGGTGGAGGGTGGAGTGCCCCGAGTCCGTAGGATGGCGAGTCCAAGCAATGCGGACCTGAAGCGCGCGAAGATTTCTGAAACTCTGGCGGGCACCCAACAGGCACATGGTTATGCGGAGCCCCTTTTTCCAGTAGAGATGAGGAGAGGCCGTTGGCAGGTGCAGGGTGGAGCCCCACGGTCCTCCCCCGTTGGTTTTCTGCACTGTGGAGCGGTGCCGACAGAGGTGCCGCTTTGCGGTTTATGGGTGCACCGCGGCAGCGACAGAGCTAGGCTTTGCGGTGAGTCGCGATGGTGCTTGGCCGCAAATCGCAAATTTACGCTCAGGTGTAGCCCGATCCTAGCGGCTCTCACTGGATGGGCAACTCTTTTGGCCCCCATATGGGTCTTGATCTGATCGTCAGAACCAGCACCATCATCATCATCATCATCATCATCATCATCATCATCATCATCATCACCACCACCACCATCACCACCATCACCGCCAATCTGGCTCGGGCATCTACCCGTCCCCGTGGCTTCCCTCCCTGCTCTCCCCCCCCTCCCCGCGTGTGCCATGGTCGTCGCTTCGCGTCTGGCATGGATTCGGCCGCAGGTCCTCCAGGGCGCCATCGTTCACTCCTCTGCGGACTACGCGGCCATGCAGGGGCGCTTCAAGGTGAAGCTGACCATCGACACGAGCATGCAGGTGTCGCCGTTCGCTTAGCTCGCAACCCTTGGTCTGGTAGATCTTCTTCGTCAACTGGTTGGCACTCATCTGAGAGTGGATCGCACGACGCCCCTCTGTGGTTATCTTCGCGGCCTGTGCCTCAGCTGCCTGGTCCTCCTGCTGAGGATGACGATGACGATAACGGAGCTGGAGGGGCTGACCCTGGTGGCGGAGGTGGGGACAGCCATGGGTGACGTGATGAGCCTGACAAGCCTGACCCGTGGCATGGACTAGGCGGTAGCGACCCTTAGGGTGAAGGCGGCGCTGACGTATGGCTGTTCTTGGGCGGATCTAAATAGCCTCGTCGATGCGAAGTTGGTGGCGGCCCAGCCCCTCGCTTGCCTGGCGTTCCTCGTCTTCCCGAGTTTGCTTGGAACCGAGATGCACCCGGGTTCCAGCTGCCGCCCAGTGGTGACGTGGATGTCCTTCTCCAGGAGCTTGTCCCTGGAGTGCTGCGCGGTGGTGCGGGTTCTCTTCTGTGCCCCGGAGTGTTACCTGGTGGTTTTAATATACTCGGCACCGTATCTCCTCGTGATGTGAATGTTGGTGGAGATTTACTTGGAGGTGCAGACCTTCCTGGTGAAGAACTCCTTGGAGTGCTACCTGGTGGTGCGGATATTCGGGGTTTGTCGGTTCCTGGGGGCGGGGGGGCTCACGGAGTGCTGCCTGGAGGAGTGGTTCCTTCGGGCGCAGTGCACCATGGAGTGCTATTTGGTGGTGCGGATCTTCCTGGTGCAGCTCGCCCTGGCGGGGGGAGTAGCTCCAGCGGTCTACCTGGCGGTGCGGATCTTCATGGTGAGCCTCGCCCTGGGGCAGCGTTCGTTGGCGTACTACCTGGCGGTGCGGATCTTCAGCGTGAAGTGTTTCCTGACGGAGAGGCCGTTTGTAGGGTGCTACCTGGAGGTGCGGATCTTCCTGGAGGAGGGTTCCCAGGAGGGCTACATGGCGGTGCGGATATTATTGGTGAAGTTTTTCCTGGATGAGTGGAGGTTTGTGGAGTGCTGCGTGGC